AAAGATTGGAAACCGGATTTATGTAGTTGCAAATATCATCTGCCCGCGAATTAGTGTAAGTTGAAGTAGGACCGCTGTTGGAAGTTACGGATGAAATTCCTTCACATATAATAGTGCTAGGATGTTTGACTTGATTGTCTTCACCTTCTTTTGTTTGGCAAATTCATTTCACTAGAAGAGTGTCTGAGCTACTTTGCTTTCGTTTTGCAACTTACGTCTGTTTTTTGGTTACTGTAGCTTCTTTTGAAGAGGACGGAGCTGAAAAAACTTTAGGAGCCAAGGAACTTTATGATATATTGGCATAGCTGACTTTAATAAGGTTGGAAAGTGTGTTTTAAAATAATGGTCTCCGGGCTGAAGTGCTTCAATTGGTTTGCACAAAGTAACAAAATGATTTTTGGTGGATGGGATTTTTTGATCTACCAAATAAGAAGGTGGCATCGCAGCACAACGAAAGATATGGACATAGTCAATTGCACTCCCATCAACAAAATCTCTTGGATATATTGTAAAATTGAACATTTTAGCCAACGAATCCCAATTTTCTTTCACTTCAGCATCATTAGTAATTGGGTAGTATGACTGAAGAGCACACTGGAATACTGTGGACAAAGCAAACATACACATCAAGGATGAAAAGGTGTAATTATTCGCTGTTTCCACTGCTTCTTGTAAAACTGCTGCACTTTCATTCGCATTTTCTAAAGAGGTTAAGAGCTGCATCGGATATACACATGGCAAAGGCAGTTTTAAGTTAAGCGAACGCACCATTTTTATGCTGGGACTCGATGAGAGGATGGGTAGAATAGTATTTTGCATTCTCAAACATTTCAACACTAGTTAGGAATCTCAAGTAAATAGAGAGAGTCTCATTCCCAACTAATGCAATAGAACATGCATTGAACAGACAATTCCCATTGGCTAAAGTAGTAAAAGAAAAATTAGTATTTAAGTATCAATGGCTGCTTTGTCATACCAAGTTATACCTGGAAACAAATCTGCTAGACTGACTCTGACATTAGAATAAATAAGGATAACCAATCCTGTTAAAGATAGACTAATGATATTGAAATTGAGAAAGTTATTTTGTCTTTGTGTTAATTTGGTAACATCATGATAAAGTCAAAGTCACAGGCAGGTAGTCTAAGATTTGGAACTAGTCTAGGCATGTTGAACAGGATTCAGACGACTTATTAATTCCATCTACTATAGCATCAATATTCTATATAACCCGCGAAAGAAAGTAACAGTTATTCAAAATGATATGTTAGTTTCTTTAACCAGGGGATAACATAAAATGCCAGGAACACAAGGATAATACATTATTGATTGGGTTAAATTTTGAAAAGGACTAGCTTTGACTAATATTGAAGTAAAACATTTTTTTAACAGACAGTAACAATTAAAATTATTTAGGCCGTACATTAGACAGAGTATGCAAAATAATGACAGCTTTAGACATATATTTTACATGATGCACTAAATATGAATAGCTGAAAATTAACGGATTGATCATAAATTTCAGGCCAAGATGTCAAACGTAAATAAAAATATTAATTAATACCCCAATACATGTAAATTCTTACCTAACAGGGACATTGGGTCCTGATCTTTCAATTTGGCTTTCAGGGAACTGCAGTTTTGAAAATGAACAAGTTCGTAGCATTTGTAATATCGCCAGTAGAATTTATACGAGTAAGCCTTTCCTCGTTGATTATTTTACCACAGTGTTGTCTCAAGTTAGACAATTCACCAGAAATAATTTCGCAAGCGTTCTCTTGCTGAAAGATTTGGACGAGCTTTTCAACAACATCGATCTTTTTAGAAGTTTCCATTGATCCTAATCGCTGAGTAGAACTAGAAGTAGCGTTTTTTCAAGTAGACAAGAATCGAGCTATTGCATATGACTTGTATTTATTGCGCAATCAAAATACAATCACCATGGCTCACCGTGGCGCACCTGACCAAAACGTTCCCTGTGATTGGCGTGCTACGCTGCACCGTGGCTAAAGGTTACTATATTTAGCAACTAAACGCTGACCGTGGCATTTCATTCTGAGATTGCAGGTTCGAATTTACGAACATATTCCACATATTCCGAACATATTCATGGCGTATTCGGCAAGATTCAAGATGCTTTCGGTGATTTTACAGTTAGGAGTTTAACTGGATGATAATTTGTGTTCTGTTAACACAAATTTTTGACAAAAAATTACAAAATTCATTCAATTTTTGCTTTTGATCGAATTTTGCTGTATTTGAGCAAAATTTTTAATCATGAAATAGTCAACCCTGGAAAAACTTAAGTGGCAGAATTCTGACCGTGGCTCAAGCCACTTTCGCCATTTCCTAGATCCGCCCCTGACCCTGACAACGTGTTGTAATTTTACGCGATAACCCGAAATCTTATTCTCAGGAAATACAGAGAGAGATGCATTACTAGGTAATGTCAGATAGAAGTGTGTTCCGCTCATCTTTAAGGTATAATGTGAAATGAAAAAATCATGAAAATGGTTACGTTTTATATATGTATTTCCGATGCCAGTACCCATGAATTAAATTTGTTAGGGTAACCAGACCACTTTACAAAATATTGTACAGTGCCCCCTCTACCACGTTTCTTAAGTATTTTTTCAATCTCATAAACAACGTCTTTCTTGATGACTTTTTGAAGTTCTTTTTCACAAAATTTTCCTTGAAGTTCGTCCCCTTCATGTCTTTCAGTCTGTATACAGGAGGATTGCGCGGTATTTTTTGACTAACAGTGAAAATTTATTTTGAAAAATTCGGTAAATACCCCTTCTCAAACCTTCGTTTTATTTTACTTATTCGTTCTTGGTCACCTATATCAAACTTATATTTTACATGCGTTGGTTTATTTAATTTGCTATCACCATATAAATTTTGCTGAATTCTATCTTCATTTTCACTTATAACGTTGATCGGTTTTTCCTTAATGCTGCAATGCATGCTATGATTATAAGAATACAGTAGATCAGGAAGCATGTCAATGCATCTCATGGTTTTGTTTGCTGTGAAGTAGCGCCACATTTTAGTTTTCAGTGTACGTATCAAACGTTCAACGATGGATGCCTTCGTCTCGTTAAATATATTAAACAAGGTAACGTTTTCCTCTGTAAAAAGTTTCTTAAAGTCGCGATTAAAAAACTCCGAGCCTTGATCCGTTTGAATGTGTGTTGGTTTACGTCTGATGACAAAATCTTTTCTACCAATGACGATCCTGTTTTCATTTTTAATGGAACAGCCCATGCATATTTGGAAAAAACATCGATACAGATAAGACGATAGCGATAACCGTCATTATACTTTTGCAAAGATTGCATGTCTGCAAGATCTAATTGCCACTGGTCGTCAATACCACTCACTACGACACGATTTCTTTCAAACTTTCTTCGAATAGGTTTATGCAAAGAGTATGCCTCTTGTTGCATGAGCCATTCTTTAATTCTTTCACGACTTATGTCATACATTCCTTCTGCCTTTACATCGCGGTACAAATGTTCAACACCCCTGTAGCTTCCTGGACGTTTTGGATTGAAGTATACACCAGCTAAGTACTGGTCGATGTTACTCATGACAATGTTCTCATGATAATAATTTTGCAATTAGATGTCAATTTCTTTTAACTACTCATTATTGACGGGTTCAATGTGTTTCAGTTACAGGCAGTGTTTCTTCTATCGCATTATCTGTTGGAAGTTTAATTGCGGCAGGCCCATAATTTTTAACCGTTTTACTTGTGTATCCTGCTTGCAAGTGCCCCTCAAGATTAAGATCATTGCGTCCAAAACTTATTCCAAGTCGAAACATTTTCTGACGATTATGATTTTTATCTCTTTTCAAATTCTCGCTGTCGCCTTTACTCCCGCAAACCCCCATACTTGTCTAGTGGCTAATCCAGGCCTCACAATGAAATGAACGCTATAACGTTTTGTCATTCGCCTTTATACGTTTTTGAAAGAGACATTTTTACTGATTTATGTAGTCCATTGATCGCTTTGGTCTGTTGTCACGGTAATTCATACTACAATCTCAAATACAGCCAAGTTGGCAACTGAAATATTTATTAAAATGACACAAATAGTCTCATACAGATGTTCTATACTTCAATTCACAAGCACAATCAACATAATCAAACAAATTTACAAAAAATGGTGGTCTAATTGTTTGTGTGTAAATTGACATAAGTTCATTCCACAGTGCTTTCCAGAGTTTTTCATAGTATGTCTTTTGAGAAGATGTTGGTCCACTGTTCTAAAGAAACTTGAAGGTTTCACATATTCCATTCCAGATATGTTCGCGATTGATTACATTCACTGCTCGATTTGCAAAATTGAACCATCGATCCTCCTCAGTCAACATTCCAAACAGTTTTGAAGATCTGTCCAAGGTTCAAATACACATGTATTTTTCTCAGCTCTTCATAGCTCCTGAATCTTTTTACTTAACAACTCGACATAAAGCAAACTGATTAGGTCACTGTGGCCGATATCTACGAATTCAACATTGTTGGCATATATGTGATTAAACATGTGTGCCATAATTCTTGTCTCTTTTCTAACGTCTGACAATGTCCAACATGATTAACTTGTAACGTACCGTCTTTTTTATATTCGTGAAGAAAAACAGGAAAACGGATGCAATGTTACTTTACCTATAGCAAACAATATTAAACTCTGTCGTGTTTCCGAATATCCATGTCGTCCAGTAATAGCCCTGTTCATTCTACTCTATTTCCGGTTGAGATGCGCGCGCACCGATCAACTTCAGGGAGGCTGGAAACTAACTGCCACGGATAAGAGCTCTGTGACAAAAGTGTGACAAAGCTGCATCTTATCTACTGAGGTGTCCAACGGGAATGAAAGAAAATCGGTCACAGATCACGGACTACTGTAGCCCTGTCAAAGTGTGAAGCAGAATACATTGCCCTAGCAAATGCAATTCAAGAAGCGAAGTTTTTAAGGCCACTTTATTTAGATATGAAGGTGAGTATAATGGAAGGTAAATCTTTTCTTTTAATAGATAATCAAGGAGCAATGAATGTAGCTAAAAACCCAGTTCATCATCAAAGATCAAAACTTATCGACATTAGATACCACTTTATCGGATCAGAAATTCAGCCAAGAAGAGTTAGCTTAAAATATGTACCTAGTGGAGACAACGTAACAGATATTTTTACAAAACCAACAAGCAAAAACAAATTGGAAAGATTTAGGCAGACAATATTAAGCCTAGTTCTCATTCATCGCAAAACGTCGCTAGTATCGGCGACGTTTATCGCCGATGGTCGGTGATGGCCTCTCAATGACCTTGTGTTCTCATTCATCGCAAAGCATCGCTCATCATCGGCGATGGTCTGTGATAGCCGATGAGCGCTTTGTGAAAAAAATGGCTCCTTTTAATCTGAAATTGAATATTATAATTTCTGTGCAGCTTCAATTGTATTTATTGGCTTTGTTAAGGAAAAAGCAAAATTTATTCAGATTAAACAAACCACGAAAGAGAAGGTTTTGGATAAGAGAAATGTTGAAGAAACGCCAGCAGGAAAGTCAATTTCATATTTTGGTTGAAGAGTTAAAATTGCACGATCGAGAGTAAATTTTCAAATTTTTAAGAATGAGTCCAGAGAGGCTAGAGCATCTATTAAATCTTGTTGCCCCCTACATTACAAAAAAGAAATGCAACAGCAGAATACCAGTTTCTGCAGGAAAAAGACTTGTCGTTACTTTGCGATATTTAGCTACGGGGGATTCCCAACAATCCCAAGCCTTTAATTTCAGATTGGGAAAAAGCACAGTTTGCAATATCATAAAAGAAACATGTAGTGGAATATGGAATTCTTTATGTACCACATACCAGAAGGCTCCATACTCTGAACATGAATGGAAAGAGATCGCAAATGAAATGTTTACTCAGTGGAATTTTCCAAACTGCAGAGGTGCATTGGATGGAAAAACATTGCAATTGAATGCCCTGCTAATAGTGGATCTAATTTTTTTAATTACAAAAAGTTTTATAGTATCGTATTGATGGCCATGTGTGATGCTAGGTACTGTTTTACATTAGTGGATATTGGAAATAACGGAAGAGACAATGATGCACAAATTTTCAATAATTCTTTGCACTCAAACTATGGTTAATGAAGCCATATGGGGGTAAAGGATTACCACAAAAGAAAGAAATATTTAATTGCAGACTTAGTCGTTGCAGACGAACAATAGAAAACAGTTTTGGCATCCTTTCAGCAAGGTGGAGGATTTTTCGCCGCCCAATCAAAGCCAAGCCTGAAACAGTTGACTTGATTATAAAAGCATGCTTATGCCTGCATAATTATTTACAGCTAACATACAATGCCCATTACATCCCAGCTGGTTTTGTAGATGCTGAAGATACTACAGGTAATATCATACCTGGTAACTGGAGAAGCATTACATCAGGTGATAATGGTGCAATGGAAGCATTCACAGTTGGAAGGGCAAATAATAGATCTTCCTGTGAAGCTATTGAAGTTAGAGAAAAATTCAAGAAATATTTTACAAGCAAAGAGGGATCCTTGTCTTGGCAAGTCACTTATGTAAATAGTTTTTAAAGTTAACTGACATATTGTCTAGAGTATAGTCTAACCATAATCTGCACCTTAGCATAACCTGTAGCCACTAATTTCAGGTTTCATATAAATAAAATTATTAAGTTGTTAATAGCCTTGTTATTACAATAGTTGACTACATGGTTTTTATTCACAGATCAGTGATAGTTATTTGTAAAAAGCCAACCTCATTGCAGCATAATTTAGCATACTTGTGTGTATGCAAATAAACATTTGAGTTAAAATTTATCCTATCAACATCTTTTTATGCTTGATGGCAAATGAAATTATTCGCTCCAGGACTATTGACTCCGATGTTATCTATAACATTTACACTGCATTGCAAGATTTTAGACATTGTAAAATATATATTTGCAACTAACATGTATTATGAACATTAATTTTAAACAATATAAACAATAATGAGTTAATGAGTATTTTACTCTACTTGCTAAAAACTGAGTTATCAACAAACTAAACAGTGCAGTAACTTACTTTGTGTGGAAATGATTAATTTCGAGCTCCTTGAAGTGCTTATATTTGATTTAATATCTTTGAAAGTTCTACAGTTGTATTTTTGGGAAAATTACATAAAGTTAGTGCACTGAGTAGTTTCATGGTAATCATACAAAATAATGAAGTTTTATTACTGTAAGCAACAATTTCTTCTGAAACTCAATAAAGTAAATGTCTTATCCATCATATAACAAACTAAATGATATAAACCTGTTGTGACAAAAGCCGATATGAAACTTTTAATTATTCCCATAATTTGCTAGTCTATTTGGCACAGATCCAACAAAAGTTGGGAATGAATTCAAGTAATTTGTCTTTGAAAAACCTCCGTACTCAACTTCCATGAAAGCCTTCTCAATTAAGTTCCTAATTAAAGCCTTCTTTTTTCCATCAAGCCTTCTCAGTTTGGGGGCTAAACTCAAACAGTAAAAGTAATCTTCATCATTCTCCACATTACGTTTATCTTTTTGACTGTGCTCCAAACATTTTAAGGACTGGTCCAACTTTGACATGGCTTCTTTAATTTGTTCATCAGTTTTTTTCAATTGCATTTTGTTATTGATTTTAGCTCCAACCCAGCTCATACCATCTCTTTTTTGCCTTTTTGTTGGCTGCTTTTGGTGGGTCCCATTTTCCGTGTCTCTTATTTCCTCTGCAACATCACAAATTTGTTCAGTTGCTTCGCCTTGAAAATTGTCATCTACAGATATATCTAATGTTATATTAGTTTCCTCATGTTGATCATTTTCTCTATCTGATAACTCTTCAACCAAGTCGGGATCTTCTGCACCAAGTATAACTATATTTGAGACACTGTCTTTGGTTGTGTTTGGTTGACTAAGTGATAGATTCAAGTTACTTGTCCCTTGTCTAGAAGCCATATGGATTATAAGCCATCCAAGATTCTCGAACCTTTGATCAATATTGGGAATATCGCTTACTCCAGATCCAGACTTTAACTTTTGTTTTGAAAGATAACGAGAAAATGCAGTACGAATAGTCTTGTATCTCCTTTCCACTTCTTCTGTTGTAGTTTCAAGCAATTCAGCTATTCGTTGCCAGCAGTTAGCTTTCTTTCGTTTGTCACGAAAACCGTTTGTTCGCTTGTCGTATATCGTGGGAAATTCACGAATAATTTCCATAAAGCTTCGATCATCGTCCTTTGCTTTAACAGCAAGAATATTTAATGCTTGCACTGAATCGAAGTCTGATTGTTCGTCATTTTCAAAAGCAGCCATGTTGTACTAGATTATGAAAGTTGTCGGTAATGATCGGCGATGATCCCAAGAAACAAACCGTTTTGTTTCTTGCGATGGCAGCGCCGACGCTCGGCGATTGCAACAGAAAATCGGCGACATAAATTTTAACGCGTTCTCATTAATAGTAAGCGCTCGCCGACGTCGCAAAAGCTCTATCGCCGACGTTTTGCGATGAATGAGAACTAGGCTTTAGGAAACGTACATTAGAAATTTTAAAGTTCGCATGAGTAAGGCCAAAGGTAAGTATCAGTTTAGTACAAAAAATAATGTAAGTATGGGGTGTTAAGTATGCTCTTATATTCTTCCTGTAATTAGTAAATAATTAATTCAAGTGTACTAAATGATATTTATGAGATACTTATGTGCAATAATCACAATATTTTTTACAGTTCCTAATAGCTTTCCTGTTGATTGTAACGTAACCATATTTAGTAAAGAAACAAATATATTCATACGTAATATCGCCTCATCACCTTCCGAGCAATCTTTTCACCACAACACACGTGTTTGTCTGGCGCGATGCAGTCCGAAAACCATTACAGCCTCCGTAAGATGGTCCATTCTTGATTCTTGTAATTTTCGATGAAGTTGGTGGTGTCGTTTTGTTCTATATGCGGATGTTGCTTTTTTGATGGCTTCATTAATGGATTTGGCCTCTGATTGTGTAGTGTATCTTGTTGCGGTTTCTTGATGTTCTTGTAGTTTATGTCGGTAGATTCGTATGCGCTTGTGAGCACCTGATATGAGGACGTTTAACATACGGCGGCTGTTTGACTGTACAATTTATTGAGCGTGAGTTGTTTTTAATGGTGGTCGGTAGTTATTGCTGTTTTGTAGGATTCGTTGTTGTTTGCATATGTGTAGGAAGTGAAGCTGTTCCATTGTCTATGACTCTTTGCGTGCGACTAATTCCCATTTTCTCGTTCTTCTGAGAATATCTATCGCATATGTCAGTTTTATATGTTTAAAGATTGGTAATCCAGGCATATTGTTTAAAAATAAAAGTTTCACCGGATTTTATAAATAATTTTATGGAGTTTTCGACTTGTTGCTTCGAGCCTTCATCAGAATGAGCGAATTATCTATTTACACTTGTTTTTAGCTTGTAGACGCTTAGAGCGTCTAATTGGATTAGCGGGTGGATTAATGTAAACGGTGGGGTGAAATGCGTTGACATGGGTTTTCATGGGTGAAATGCCATGCGCTGCCATGAGTGAAATGCGTTGCCATGGGCTGCCATGCGTTGCCTCTGTACGCAGACCCCAGCAAAACGACCATCTACCGCATCAACCAGAAACTGAACCAACTAAAAGACAAAAAGAAACTGACCGAAAACGATTACAGAAGAATCCGACCCAATGACGGACAAATTTGACTAACGCCAAATTCTACGGACCACCAAAAATCCACAAAGAAAATAACCCGCTTCGACCTATCGTATCGCTTCCAGGATCACCTACGTAAGAACTTTCAAAATATCTTTATAATGTTCTCTATCCATTAGTCAAAAATTCACCTCACACCATCAGAAATGCCATCACTTTCCTCGCCAGTATTGAAAGCATTAAACTAAAAACAGACGAAATCATGATATCGTACGACGTGACATCACTCTTCACATCCATACCACTAGACATAGCCAAACAAATTACAAAGTAACTTATCACAAACGACAATACTTGGCAATCTACAACACAACTAGACAAGAATGACATCCTAGACCTACTCAACCTTTGCCTCTCCACTGAATTCGCCTTCCAAAACACGTACTACAGACAAATTTCAGGCACACAAATGGGGTCACCACTATCCACCTTCCTTGGAGAAGCCGTCATGCAACACCTCAAAACACAATCAGTCACAAACAACACAGACATCAGTCTATCAAAAAGATATGTCGACGGCATCTTTGCCATAGTCAAGAAAGACAAAACTGAATAAATCCTACACACCATAAACAATACCACAAAGAGCATAACCTTCACTAAAGACGAAGAGCACAACAAACAACTTACTTTACTCGACATCCTACTAACAAGAACAGATTGACTCCACACTAAACACACAAATATATCGCAAAACCACCCACACAGACCAAATACTCGATTTCAACAGCAATCACACACCACAACACAAAATAAGTTGAATTCGAACACTTTTTATTCCTCTAGGGGCCAAGCATTCTAAAACTTGTGCTAAAATTATTACCAGCTGGATTGTGGGTACATTTGGGGTCACATAACAGATAACGAGGCTATTTTAATTTTTTTGCTAGTATAACTTGGCTTTCTGAAATGTTGCTCCTAAGCAACAATTGTCATTTAGGTATAAAAATGCAATGAACATATTGAAAAGAGATATGCAAAAATTTGGCAAAAACGGTATATAATTTGATAAATTTAATTAAGTCTTCAACATATATTTTTAGTTCAACTCCCAAAATAGTAGATGCTATGAATTACAACAGCTCTTGAAAAATTTACAACAAAACAGTGTACATGCAGTACTAGCATCTGTCTATTATTTTTGGTGATAAGAAGCAAAGCAGTTTTTAGGGCTTTTTCCACAAACCAAGCACAAGTGCACTTGGCATTTGCAGCATGTCCAAAAACTATAACCATTTGTGCAATATCGGCATCTTCCCTTCTTTTCCAATGACACTGGCAAGTGACCAACATTGTCATATCGAATAACAAGCTGCGGCTTGGGCTGCACTCGATGTTTTTTGATTGGTGGTGGAGACTGCAGTGATGGACGACCTTGAGTTGTTTTTCCTTGGCATATCAAAGACTTTGCAGCTTGGATTTGAAAATCTTTCATCTGTAACAACTTGTTTCTTTTCAGGGACTTCGATTCCCGGCAGTATAAAAACCAGGAATTTGCCATTACCATTGTCAGGGAATGGTAAGAGATGTAAAAGTACCATCTCCTGGACTTGACCTGCCGCTTGTAAAGAGTACACATCATATCAAACAGGTCAATGCCACCCATATTGGCATTGTATGCACCAATCACAGCAGGACGATCAACTTCGACATACCTTTTCTGTGAACGTTCATAGCGCCTTACTTTAGATGTGGGCATTGGACCAAGATATGTTGACAATAAAGTTACAGCTTTGTTGTCAAACCATCTTACATGAGACAGACCACTCTTTACTTCATAAATACTGCTATAAGCACCTCTCCCATCTTTTTTGAGCTCTTTTTCTGACTTTAGGGGTGCTTTGTGTAAGCAATTGGCCTTAATTGTACCAGTATACTGGAGACCCCTTTTTTTCAATTCAGTAGCCATAGCAAAATTGGTGAAAAAATTGTCTGCAAACACTTTATATGGCTTATTCGGCAGGGTCTCAGTCAATTGAAGGACAACATTACCACCTAATCCACATCCTATGCAGTTTTCTCTTTCTAATCTTGTACCTTTCCCTTGATAGACATCAAAGGTGTGGAGAATGCCATTTGGTGAAGCACGACCCCATAGTTTTATGCCCCACTTCTTAGGTTTTTTTTGGAAGGTACATACGCAGAATAGACCGTCCTTTGAATGGTACCATGATTTCATCGACTGATTGAAATTCGTCACTGCTGATTATTGAGAAGTTAGTCTGTAGTTATTTAATCCAAGGTCGTAACTTCCACACACGATCAACCTTGCCTTCCTCAGACATCACATTGTTGTCCACAAAATAAGGTTAGCACTATTTTCCACCCAGCAAACCGCCCTTTACTTTACACAATCGGAAATAAATTAAAGATGGCGGCTAATGGGAAAGAACGAAAAGCTAAAAGGAAACCATGCATGCACTGGTGCTAGGTTGTTTTGAGATGGCGAGTAATTTTATATTTTTATAATACAGTTTTTAATATCAACATATGAAAATATTTACAGATAAATGTTGCAGTATAAATTTTCATGCAACCACCTTAAGTTATAAACTTATAATCCAGGCTGGAAAATATGTCGTTTTTCGACGATTGTGTAAAATATTATATAAAATATTATATTGTGTAAAATATTAGATTGTGTAAAATATTATATTGTGTAAAATATTATAGTACAAAGAAAAGGGCGGTTTGCTGGGTGAAAAATAGTGCTAACCATTTATGTCACGATCGTTTCTACAAGTATGTTACAGTAAATCCTGAGTTTCAATATGTCTCAATAATTTTTAGATATTTATTCTTTGCTATGTATAAAATTCCCATAAAATTTACACATAAAAGAGAACTAGATGAAATTTTCTTACCTTATACACACTCTCACACTGACTTGTTGATGCAGCCATTTTGACGACATATAGAATCCGTAGTATTTAGCCGAGCACCATTTTTTAGGGCTGGGGACAAGTTTTGGATGTTGTTCAGCAGCAACATTGGCTTGGAATGGGAAAATTTTGTATGTAAGAACAAAGACAGGGTAATATATTCAATGTTGCTCAGGAGCAACCGTGGCCCCTAGAGGGTCAACAGGACAGACACTCATTGTAACACCGAGGAAGCCAAGAAAACAGAACGCCACTACTTTTATACTCCACATTTATTAAAAACAATTACCCTAGAAACTTCAAAAACAAAACTATAAACAAAATACAAAACAAAACACAAACCGACTGTGGACAAACCAAAACAAAACACAAACAGTAAAAATCGTCACATCAGTCACAAAAAACACAAACATCAGACTATGGAAAAGATATGTCGACGACATCTTTGCCATAGTCAAGAAAGACAAAACTGAACAAATCCTACACACCATAAACAATACCACAAAGAACATTACCTTTACTAAAGACGAAGAGCAAGACAAACAACTTACCTTCCTCGACATCCTACTAACCAGAACAGATGACGGTACACTAAACACACAAGTATACCGCAAAACCACCCACACAGACCAAATACTCGATTTCAACAGCAATCATCCAACACAACACAAAATAAGCTGCATTCGAACACTTTTCAACAGGATAAACACTCATTGTAATACGGAAGAAGCCAAAAAAACAGAACGCAACTACTTATACTCCACATTTATTAAAAACAATTACCCTAGAAACTTCATAAACAAAACTATAAACAAAATACAAAACAAAACACAAACGACAAAAGCAACAAGAAACCGGACGAAACAGTAAAAATCGTCACATTACCATACATAAACGGAACATCAGAAATGACTGCCAGACTTCTTCGACCATTTAATATTAACGTCGCCCACAAACCTACATAAAAACTCAAATCATGTTTCACCAAACATAAAGACAAACCAACAATTCATGATACACATTTAATATACACGACGAGTTTTTTTGGAATATAAATGTTTCGATATCTCATGATGCCATCTTTAGTATGAGTGAAATAATAAATGATACAAGGTTTATATACAGTAATATCATACATAAATTACAACAATAAAATGGGAATAAGATAAATTAATGGGGAGCGTCCGAGCGTATTATAAACTAAATATTGTATTAAATTAAAAAACTTGAACATTGAGGTCAGGGTTAGTTTTGTTAAAGTGGAGTGCTTCTTTGATTTTAAGGGAGAATGAGGTGTCGGCAGTGTCGATGATTTTGAAGCAAGAGGATGAATAGTTGGTTTACATGAGTGAGATTTAAGGTGTCGGTAGATATGAGAGTTTTTGTCTGTTGTGGTATGTTCCCTGATTCTGATTGATAAATGGCGCGAAGTTTCGCCAATGTATCGGGAATTACATCCCGCGCAAATGAATTCATATACCACCATAGATTTAATTGAATCAGGGATTGGGTCTTTGAATGAGAAAAGGTTTTTGATTTTGAATGATGTGAAAATTAATCGAATGTCAATATCTGTACTGAAGCGTTTCATAATGTTTGTAAGTCTGCGTTGTGTCTGTCGTGAGTAATGTCCGATGTATGGTAGTTTGAAGTATAGAGTTGTTATTTTTGAATTTTCATTTGTGTTGGTCGTGATCGTCGTGTCAGGAGTTTCGGTGTCTGGTTTGAGGTTGTTGCTTTGTTTGTTGTCGAGATATCGTTTTACGGTTCTGCTAATAAGGTGTAGTGGGAAAGAGTTTCGTAAAAGAGTGGATGTAATGTTTCTTATATCTCGTGAAAGCCATTGCTCGTAATGTTAAGTTTGTATGCTCTGTCGATTAGTGTGCGTATAAGTCCGGTTTTGTATGAAAGACAAAGTGGTGTGAAACTAAAATAGTTCGTCAGAAGTCCTGTGTATGTTGGTTTGTGATATGTAGATGTTGTTGATATTTGAGTGATTCATTATAATTAGAAATCAGGAATACATAGAATAGAAATGTAATTAATAGAAAAAATAGCTCATCGCTTCCCGTATAACATAGCATGTGCTAAGATAAGATCAATACTTCACGCAATGATATTATAGTGTAACATTGCATAATCAATAATACTTCATATTGCTGAAACTCCCACTTAATGTGCACTATAAATGTTCCTTAAGAATTACGAATTCTTAAACTAAAATTTCTTTGACACCTAACATGTCTCGAAAGTTTTGGAAAGTTTGCTTTGGTAAACTTTTCGTCATAACATCCGCTAACATCTGATCTGTACTACAGTATTGAACAATAAAGGAATTATCGTTGACCTTCTCTCCAACAAAGTGATACGCAACGTCAATATGTTTAGAGCGATTGTGAAATCATGGATTCCTCGAAAGTTCAATTGCCCCTTGGTTATCTTCGTTCAGTATAGATGGTTGATCTTGATTTATTCCAATATACGCTAGTAAACGTCGTAACCATATGACTTCTTGTGTTGCATAACTTAGTGCAACATACTCAGCTTCAGTCGAAGATCTTGCAACACAAGATTGTCGCTTGCTGCTCCTGCTGACGGTTGATTCGTTTATCTGGAACACGTATCCTGATGTAGATCTTCTTGTATTTACATCACTTGCCCAATCAGCATCTGAATATCCAACCACTTCGCATGTTGAATCTTTGCTTTGAAAAACAAGACCATAATTGATTGTGCCTTTTAGGTATCTCAACACTCTTTGCTCCCTACCAATGCTCGTTTCCTGGCTTTGACATAAATTTTGAAAGAATACCTACAGCAGATGCCAAGTCAGGTCGAGTTGCCGTTGTCACGTATGTCAAACATCCGATATGTTTTTGATATTCATGAATATTTGTTGCGGTCTCTTCTTCGTGCAGATCCTGAAAATGTTTTCCAGGCTCTAACGGTGTCGAAACAGGTTTGCAACGTTCCATGTTGAATCGTTTCAAGATTCCTTTGAAATATTTTGATTGACTAATTGTAAATTTTCCTCTTTTTCTGTCTCGTTTGATCAGCATACCAAGGACATGTTTGACTTCATTAAAATCTTCAAATTTGAACTTTGATGCAATAGCTTTCTTCTCCACCTTCAGCATTTTCGTAGAATTGGAAAACAGGAGCATATCATCAACATAAATAGATAGTATCACGAAATTCACATTTCCATCTTGCTGTTTAATAAATGTCACGTAAGCCTCATTTCCACCTATCGCACGAATCAACTCGCTGCGAGAACTCGCAAACTCGTATTTTTTATGACCTCGCAGATAGTTCAGATTTTTCAACTATTTTTTTCTCGCAGCTATTTCAAATAAAAATTCACCAATTAAAGAAAGGCTACTGATCACGTGGCATCGTTTTTTAGCATTATGTTATTTCCCCCATTTTTTTCAAAAAACAAACTAAAAAATGTCGGATAGACAAGAACGAAACGAAAGATGGAGCGATAAAAAGATCGAACTTTTAATCAAAACAGTAAGAAAATTTCACGTTTTGTACATGGTAAAAAGCCGTGGATACAGAGACAAAACACAAAAAAAATATGCATGGCAATGTGTGGCAAACGAAGTTGAACTACCAGGTCAGTCCGAAAACACTAAAAAATGCTATAGAATTGCTAAAGAACAGTATAATTTTTAATTATTTTTCTATTTTGTCTTCAAAGTTTCATCATGTCAAGCGAAATGGAAAGGATTAAGAGATACTTTTTCAGAAAATGTAAGAAATCAGAATTTACCTTCTGGTTCTGGAACAGGAAAAGAAATAAGATGGAAATGGTTTAGAAGCATGGATTTCATCAGGGAAACCATATTGCACAGAGCCACTTCAAGCAACCTCAGTTGCAACCAAAGCAGTGAAAAACTTCATGAAATTGATGAGGAAGATATTGTTACGAGTGATTCAAATGAAATTGAGCAACACAGCATTGGAACACTAACATCAACTCCAACTACAAAGAAAAACAAGAGAGGGTTGGAGTTAAGTCCAGTTGGAAGAAAAAAATTAAAGCACTCCCCCATAAAAAGAAAAACTTTTGTGGATCGAAAAATTGACCTAGAAATATTAAAAATTTTTAAAGCAGATGAAAAGAATGGAAATGCCTGTGGAAACCAAGGCAATTCAGTAGAGGATGATTGTGTGGCATATGGTAAATATGTTGGAGTCACATTAAGCAAGTTTGATAATTATCACAAATCATTAGCCAAAATGAAGATAGCACAAGTTTTGTTTGAGGTGGAATCCAGTTTGACAAATTTTTCACAAGTCCTTGACCAAAAAGACAAAGAATAAATCAACTATATCATAAACTGTCTTAAAACATTGTTATAAAGTTGAATTTCTTTGTAAATGATTATGTAATTGTAAAGGAGAGCTGTTTTACTGTTTGCTCATGTTATATTCTATATATTTGCTTTCACCTTTGGTTTTGAGAAACAAGACAGGGTTTTTTCCAAACTATATTAACATAAGCTACATCTAATTTAATAAAGTTTACTTGAAATGTCATTTGCTTTAGAGAAAAAAACTGAGTTTACATTAGCAATAGTTAAACTTGTAAGAATGAAAAATACCCATGCAAAGAGGAAAAGAATGTTGAAAGAATAAATCATAGTCATTCAAGGTTCCCATTAAAAGATATATGATTTTGCTGCCATGGAACTTCACCCTCTGGTTTTATGAAATACTCTTTAAATTGATCTCGTACTTCTGAGGCATCTTTCTTATAAAAATTTGAGCCTTGTCTCCCAATTGACTTTAAGCCTTGTGCATTCTCCACAGAGGCTCTCCATGAGCCCAATAAAATTTTTCCATTTCTAAAATAAGGGGATAAAGATAATAATTCTCTTGCAAATGAAATCTCTTCTCAAATCTGTCTAAGAAGTCAAGAATATTTCACATCAGTTTGAGTTCATCAAAATTGATTCATTAAAATTTTTGAAATATGGTATTCTTGAAAAAAATTAAGAAATCTAATCATACCTGTCCTCACTGTCCACAAAACATGGGGTAAATACTGTCTGGAACATGCTGGTTGTTTTGCCTCCGACTTTATCAGGAAATTATGAAGTGCAACTACAGCCATGGTAGTCCTCTCAACTTTCATAGGTTTGGCAATAATTATTCTTCTCAATATTCGAAATCCTGAGGCAGCAATGCCAAATGCATTTTCAACAACTCTTCTGGCCCTGGAAAGGCGATAGTTGAAAATTTGCTCATGTTGTGATAGAAATTTGCCAGGGTAGGGATGCATCAGATTTTTCATTAATGGAAATGCTTCATCACCAACAAAGACAAAGGGAAAAGTACTCATTCTATTACTTATGCAGCATGGTTCAGGAAGTTGAAGAGAATTTGACAGCAACCCAATACCTAATTTAGAATTCTGAAACACACCTCCATCACTATGACGACCATTATCGCCAATGTCAACTAATATGAATGAATAGTCTGCTGCAGCAATAGCCATGAGAACAATGCTATGCCAGTGTTTATAATTATAGTACAAACTCCCTGATCCTGCTGGTGCTTGTATTTTTATGTGCTTGCCATCAATGGCCCCACAACAATTAGGGAATTTCCAGATTCTTTTGAGTTCATCAGCTATTTTTAACCACTCATGCGGTGAACTGGGAGCTTTCAAATATCCTTTTGACAAAAGAGCATTCCAAATTGCCAAACAGGTATTCGAAATAATTCTGTGTACAGTTGTCACTCCTATTCTATAACTGAAAGACAAACTTCGTGGACTGTCTCCTGATGCTAAATAGCGAAGTGTCAACGCTAATCGTTCTTCTGAACTAATGACATCACGACTTTTATCGCTCTTTTGAATAAGGGAGCCTACAAGACCATGTAAGTAATTGAATTGATCAGGTGACATCCTAAAATAGTGGAAATAACCTTCGTGGTCTCCATATCGTAATTCCTTCACTAAAGTGAAAAATTCGCTATGTTGAGATCTCTTTTGAAATGTCGGCCTGATCCAAAAACGTTTGCGGTATTTTTCACGCTGTCTTCTTCGACTTCGCAAATAGAGTAAAAGAATTGTTTGCTTTCTAGTCAAAGGACTCATTCTTCACTCCTTAAGCGTTTGCCATTTTTTTTTCTTAGCTCGCTGAAAAACAGTTATCAAACAACGAGTACTCGAAACAGACACGAACAATTGCGAGTTCTCGCAGCGAGCTGCGAGTTGATTCGTGCGATAGGTGGAAATGAGGCTTTACAGACATGGATCACACCTCATTTGATTGTATCCTTTTGACTTGAGGTATGAGTCGGTGGATTAAACCATAGATGCTTTTCTCAATTTGCAGACATAGTCAGGATGCTCCTTACTAATATAACCTTCAGGTTGTCGCATATAAATTTCTTCATCCAAATTTCCTTGTAAAAACGCTGTTTTAACGTCCATTTGGTGAACTTCCCAGTCTTTTGCATTCGCTAAAGCGAATAACGATCGAACAGTTGTATTTCGTATGACGGGTGAAAATACTTCATGATAGTCGAGACCTTCAGCTTGTGAATAGCCTTGTGCAACTAGGCGAGCTTTATATCTCTGTATTTCTCCATTTTCGTCTTTCTTCACCTTGAAAACCCATCGGCTTCCAACAATATTCCTATTATCTGGTAATGGCACAAGTTCCCAAGTATCGTTCTCGATAAGTGAATGAAATTCAGAGTCGGTTGCATTTCTCCAGTCATGTCCATGTTCTCCAGAACATGCTTCGTTGGTGTTTGCTGGTTCGTTGATTTCCGCAGTTAAATCATTGGCGATGTAGCATTCTTCATCAAACCTTTGGGTTCTTTGTCTCCTTTCACCAATGTTTTGTACTTCATTCATAAATCTTTCCTCGTACGTCACTCCCACTGGCTCGTTATCGTTGATTTCTGCATCCACGTTGACATTTTCGATAATTGGATTCAAATCAAAATCTTTACCTGCTTGCGTTGGGGTTTCTTTGATAATCACCGGAACATTTTGCTATTTTTTTTTATCAAATGCAGTCATTGGTCTTTTGTCTTCACCAAAGTCATGAATTGTGTTTCCACAAACATTGCATCACGGCTACGGATGAATTTCAATCCAATAGGGTCATAAAACTTGTACCCCTTTGTTCCGTCAGTGTATCCCACAAAAAGTACTTTTCCAGGATTTTGGGTCCAACTTCTGGTTCTCTGGAATATGTACATAGCTCACACAACCAAATACTCGTAGATTAGCTACATCCGGTTTTCTTCCATATAGACATTCGTATGGAGTCATAGCCTTTACTGATGTTGCAGGACTTCGATTACGCAAATAGACGGACGTATTTACAGCCTCAGCCCAGAATTCATTTGGCAAATGTGATTGAGACAGCATAGAACAAGCAGATTCAACAATGGTACGGTTCATTCTTTCTGCAATGCCGTTTTTCGCCGGATTATGAGGTACACTTAACTGATGGATGATATCATTTTTCGTCAGGAAATCTTTGAATTCCTGTGTGGAATATTCTCCACCGTTATCAGATCGTAGGGTCTTGACAGGTTTGCCAGTAATGTTGCAAACATAACTATGAAATTCCTCGAATTTCTCTAAAACTTCGCTTTTCTTCTTTATGAAGTAGATGTACGTATACCTTGAATAGTCGTCGATGAATGTGATGTAGTAGCGCGATCCACCAAAAGAGTTTACAGATATGGGACCACACACATCACTGTGTACAAGCTCAAACGGTTGGTTGGCACGGTTGGCAAGCTCTTTCGGATAAGAACACCGATGTTGTTTCCCCATCATACATCCCTCGCAGAATGAGATATTTTCATTTACATCACTCATTCCTTTAACCAAATCTCCATTTAACAATTTACGAACATTGTTCATTCCCAAGTGCCCAAATCTGCAGTGCCATAAATACAAGCTTGAATTTGATGCGTCCTTTGCAATGTTCACATGTTCATGTCCCACCCTTAATTTGTACAATTTTCCTTGTATGTCCCCAACAGCTAGAAGTTTGGAATTACGAGATATCTTACACTTGTTACCTTCAAACATAACAGTAGCTCCAAGTTTTATCATGGCATAGACTGATAGTAGATTCTTGTCCAATTCTGGTAAGTACAATACGTTGCGTAATGATATGTTCTGAACGTGATCATCAAGTATTGCTTTCAAGTGATAGGTACCTTTTCCATATGCCAAGATCGATCTATTATCACCTAGATTCACCACCGAGAGTTGCTTGAATGTTACATAATCCTTCTGTGCTTCTCTTTCATATGACATATGCTGGGTAGCACCAGAATCTATGATCCAGTCTGATCTTCCAATAAGTTCAGATCCATTGCTTATCAAGGCTTCATCCTCATGCACTTTGTCATCTTGTCCTTCGGCACAATGCGCTTGAGTATTTCTTTTTTCACCATTCTTAGTTTTCTTGTTTGGACAGTCACGAGCATAGTGTCCTTTCTCTTCACAATTGTGACATTTTCCTTGAAAAGGATTTCTGTTGCTTCTATCGTTCTTCCCTTGCTTATTATTTTTCTCACCACGATTCCTGCCACAAATAAAATTTCCTCTATGAGCAGAATATGCATCTTCCTCAGTATTCTTCAAATCATTAGTACGGTTCACATCATTCAGAATTAAGTTCTTTACTTTTTCAAAAGAGATCTCTGTTTCTCCCATGGCATCTAAGGCTGTTATTAGTGGTTTGTAATGATTAGGTAAGCTAGCTAACAGCGTCATAGCCAATTCTTTGTCATCCACGCTGACTCCCATTTCCTTGAGTTGCTCATGCAGCGATTTGAGATGGCTGATGTGTTCAAGCACACTATCTCCAACATGGTATTTACAGGAATAATACTGTTGGCGTAGTCTCACCTTCTGAAGAAGTGATTCTCGTGCGAATTGATTTCTAATTGCATCCCATGCCTCTTTGGCAGTTTTCGTACCTCGCACGTGGATCTGTTGCTCGGGCTCAATAGCCAAACAAATGTACGTCCACGCTTTCTTCGCAGCAGAGTTAAACTTCCTTCGCGTTTCAGCACTAGCATCCTCATTTGGAAATTCAGCTGTTCCCTCCGCATGCTCGAAAAGATCCAGACTTTCCAAATTCAGCCTCATGTTGAAAACCCATGAGCGGTAATTACTGCCGTTCAGATTCGCGAACTTTAACGCATTCGACATATCCGACGTGGCTATGATTAAATTTCGACTATATAACCTTTTTTATTTTTATTGCAATGCTTTTTCACTCAAATACTGACCTTCTACGTCCTGGGCCCATAACCTGTTGATATTTGAG